AGGGAGGCTGGGAAGGGATGGGAAGGGTAAACAAAGGAGGAGGCTACAATGCTTAATAAGAAATGTACTCACTATCTTGCCCATGTAATTGTAACCCCTCTGTACAGTGTTTTCACAATAAAAAATAAAAAAAAATTCATGATGGGCTAGGGTGAGTAGACAAAATGTTCAAACATTTCCTGGAGGTGGGATGGGGACATATTGAAAGTAGGTTAAAAAACATTGCGTGCTGCATCAATGTAAGATCTATCCATAAAGACATAACTAGAATATTCACCCTTCTGATGAGCCAACTACCAGTGATTAATAAATCTTTCCTAAAATAATGAGTCTCTCTGTCTCTTTCTCTCCTCCCCCTCTCCCTTTACTTCCCTTCATATGTGTATGTATGTATGTGTGTGTGTGTGTGTGTGTGTGTGTGTGTGTGTGTTTGGTGGTGCTGATGATTGAATCTATGGTCTCATGAAAGTTAGGCAAGTGTTCTACCACTGAGCCACATGCTCATCCCTACCATGTCTCTTTCTGAACCCTAGAAGTACATTTCCTGTTTTATCACATTTCAGATCATTTCCTCACTTTTTGACCCAATGATGTAATAATCTAAAAGTCCACCAAATATGAGAACAGTAGAAAGAATAATGAATATATATTTGAATTAGAATCCCAGAGAGGACTGTTTTGGTATGGTTTAAATAAAATTAGCATTCCTTTTTAATTTTCTGGTTATGCCTCTGTGTAGATTAAAATATGGCTTACCACCAGGGTGCATCACTTGACACATTCTGTTCATCATGCATTAAGAAATGGTTGAAATCACAGCTTCTCAATAGTGTGGCCCACAATTGTGCCCCAAACCACCTTGGGCACAATATTGAATCCTGTCACCTTGAAGGAGGAAAATCATTTGATGGCAGATTGCTGCTTTTTCTTGCTCTTACTAACATACTGTATCTGTAAGGCAAGAGGAAATTCAGAGGTTGACTTTGGAATAAATAACTTCATGTGTAGTTTACTGTTTAAATTCAGTAGACAATACCCTATGGTGGTGGTGCTGGATGATAATGAAGAATTTTTACCCTGGAGAATGTGAATCACAAAGCTGAGCTGGAATTACACGTAGTGGTTGTAGAAACATCTGTATAAGAAAATACCAAAGGACAGCCTGGTGTCATATAAAAACTATTTGCCAATAAATCTACTTTTGATGGGCTACTAAAAATGGACACATCAGGCATAAAAGATATGTGTGTCTATTACATTGGCTGGCTTTGTGAAGGATGACAAGCTTCCACTGGTGCACTGAGATAAGGAACAGCTGCTGTTAGCATAGGCACTATTGCAAGAAATGAAATGATAATTCTGGGAACACTCTTAGGAAAGTTTCTACATATCTGACTAACGTTTGAATAGATATAAGACCAGCATCATCTAGCAGCCCCAAAGAAACTTGCCTACAGCCCTTTAACAATCTCTTATGAAGAAGCACTGACTGAATCCAACCCCCAGGAACTATCATCCAATTGTGTGTTGTTTGTGAAGCAAGTAGTTCTGTACAGTGTATGTGTATGTGACAGTGATGGGGCAGAGAAGGAATGAGCAGCATAGGTTGTTATTTTTCTTTTACTCCTTGCATCAAAGACATTGTGTGTGTGTGTGTGTGTGTGTGTGTGTGTGTGTGTGTGTGTGTGTGTGTCCCAGTCCTGGGGCTTGAACTTGAGGCCTGCGCACTGTCCCTGAGTTTTTGTGCTCTACCACTTGAGCCACAGCTCCATTTCTGTTTTTTAGTGGTTAATTAGAGATAAGAGTCTCATAGACTTTCCTGCCCCAGCTGGCTTCAAATCATGATCCTCAGATCTCAGTCTCCTGAGTAGCTAGGATTACAGGTGTAAGGCACCAGTACCTGGCTAAGGATATTTTTAAGTATGAAATCTCATGGTTTCAAATGACAACTGCAAAACAGTTGCTTATGTACATCTATAAACTGTGAACCAAAGGAGAAAAATACTTGTTAAGGAAGAAAACCTTACTGAATCTCACTATTAGACCAATTTCATAGCTACACAGAAAGAAAAAAGATTTCCTTCTTCAAGAAAAAAAGATTAACAATGCAGAGTACCAAGCTTAGAGGTTCTTGTAGATCTGGGACTTGTAATGTTTTGAAAATTTCTTTTTAAATTTCAACCACTCAGGTCAAGCACATTCTCCTAATTCTTCTGGTATGTAATTGGGGGAATCTTTCTTTATACTTAACAATGCAAAGTCAACTATAGATTATATGTGTGTGTATATATACACACATATCTATGTACATATATATACACATATCCATGCATGTGCACATACTTACACATATACTCAAATGTACATGTGTGTATGCATCTATGTGTGTATTTAATTACCATTCATTAGCTCAGTCAGGCACCATAGATTTTTCTACTGTCTACAAAGGTTTGGCTACTGGCTACAAAGGTTTGGACCAAATGCTTTCTGGAGCTTCTTTCTTCCTTTTCCAATACTGTGATTTTTTAAAGAAAAGGCTACACTGAGCAGTGAAAGGTTAACATTTCTGGCTCTCCACTAGGCTTCCTGCCAAAGAAGGCTTGGGTTTTTCTAATTCCCTAACATCAGACTAACCAGTGGATCAGGGAGTCCTTCTCAGATTCTTAAATTAGGTCTTGCTCAGTCTGTCAATGAATCAGGACAGAAGGGCTTTATCTTAAAGACAAGTAAAGGCAAGAAAAGAGTTGGAGACTAAGGAAGGAAGGATAGCTGGAGAAGAAGGGAAGGAAAAGGAAGAAAAAATGGAATGGACAAAGAAAGAAAGAGAAATTGAAGGCCAAGGACCACTTCAAACTGCAGCTAATGTCTTCTTTCTCTGTATTAAGGATTTCTATCTGCCAAAATGAAAAAAATGTAATTAGCAGCTACAAGTACAAGTGCATTTCTTACATCATTTAAATGACCTATCTCTAAGGTATAAAGTATCATGTCAGGTTAAAGGTTGGGTGATTTGATCCCTCTATTACTCTATATAAAACAAAGAATCTGGAGTTTCATTACCCTTAAATTGTCTGGCAGTGGATGAAGTTAACTTTTATTTGAAGCTATTCTTTCATATTATTCAGTCAGTGTAGTCAAGGATGTATTAGCTTTGACGTTTTCTTGCATCTCAATCTACTATGCAGTGAATTTACTGTTTGATTGACTCAGAAGGGAGCTTTTCAGAAGACTAAGAAATGGTGGGTATCAGCTGCATTTCAAATTATTGAGGGGAATGAACATTCAGAAAAGAATGAATACACATAAAATTGCTACGTATTAATATGAATGTCTCTTTTATTTCTTTATCTGATGATATTCTGTGTTTCTTTTCTTATTTTCGCTATGTGGAGGATCAAACTGAGGGTCTACATTTCTTAAAATTCCCATGTCCTGAAACTATATTCAGGAGGAAGATTTTATTGATCAGGAAATGTAACCATGATTATTTCATTTTAAAGAAGAAAAACAATTCCAGCCAAACAGTATCTGAAAGCTATTTTTAGAACTTCAACCTTCGTAAACAAACAAAACTCTACAATGTAAGCACTCAAAAAAGTTTAACAGCAAGCTATAATGAAACATATCTGCAATCCCAGGTATTTGTTAAGTAGAATCAGGAGCGCCATGAATTTGAGACCACCTAGGCTACATCAGAAAACCACTGCCTTAAGAAAAAAAGGAAACAGATTGATTTGACTAATACAAAATAAAGTCATTATAAAATGAATTCCAAAGCTGTATTATACATCTATATATGAGCATATATGTAACAGAGTATATAAAAAGTTTTGTTAGCCAGGCACCAGTGCTTCACACCTATACTCCTAGCTACACAGGAGGCTAAGATCTGAGGATGACAGTTCAAAGCCAGCACAGGCAGGAAAGTCCATGAGACTCTTATCTTCAATTAACCACCAGAAAAATTCAAGTGGCCCTGTGGATCAAAGTGGTAGAACTCTAGCCTTGAGTAAAAAAGCTCAGAGATAGCACCCAGGCTTTGAGTTCAAGCCCCATGACAGACTGAAACAAAGACACAAGATGACCCATTGCAACAATGATAATCACAAGACAGTATACTGGAAATGAACTTTACAACTTGGGGGTGGGGGAGAGGAGGAGTGAGGGTGGTGGGGGAAAGAAGGGATAGTGGGAGAACAACAAAGGAGAGGGTAACAATGCTCGACAAGAAATGTATTCATTACCTTACTCATGTAACTATAACCTCCCTGTATAGCATCTTTACAATAAAATAAATTTTTAAAAAAAGTTTGCCCTAAAAAGAGAAAGTAACCTCACATTAAGAGCTCAGGGACCAGCACCTAGTCCCAGAGTTCAAGCCCCACAACCAAAAGAAAAAAAAATTTATACTCTAATATCACACACCATTCCATTGTCTTTGATTACCTCTTCTAACAATATCAAGCTAGTCAACTGACATCTTGAAGCACCAATTATACATGCAATTGGTAAAGGAATTCGGATTATCTCTAAACTTAACAAAAGCAAGTATCCCAGAGTTGAAAGCATGGTACTCTAGCTTTAATAACTTAGAAAGTAAACAATCACAGAAGGATGTTCCACCTGCTAAACTAATAAAGCCTAGTCAATCAAATAGTAAAAGGTATTAAGAAGCAACCAGAAATGTTATAAGAAAAATGCCTGGTGGAGACACACAAGAGAAACCCCATCAGTCTATTCATTCAATTTCTTATCTGTTCTATAGGTTTAGCAGTGGAAAGATTCCCCCAACCTTTGCATTTATCTTTGTGCCTGAATGAGTTCAATTTCACTTAGATTAGGACAGAAATTTCAGAACAGCAGGTTAATCCATCCTGTCTTCATGGGCAACTGAGCAAACAGCCCAATATCAGTGTAAAATTGTAATTCTGGAGATTAATGTTGTCTTTCCTGTTTGCAGTGAATTTGACCTCCTTGCCTTTTTTTCTATCCTTTTTCAGCTTCTGTCCAGGGTCCCTGGGAGAGAGCCATCTCACCAAACAAAGTGCCCTACTATATCAAGTAAGTCAGAAGAAATGTGTTCTTAAAGGAGCCTTTATTGTGTCTAAACTGTATGTTCACAAATGAATTTATTTTTAAGACACAGCATTATCCTCACCTATAATACCTATTTCTTTCTTCCCCCAAGGAAGCTTGGATCATAAACTCATACTAAAATTAGCACTGTAAATTTGCTGATGCAATAAGGAACTGCTTTTAAGAAAAAAAAATCATATAATTCAGTATCTATGGTATGGGAGAGGGGGGAGCAGACTCTTCACAATAGAACAAAAAGCTCCAGATACCATTATGGAGAGTGGGAACGAAGCCTTGCCAGAAAAATAAGTACATTTATTTAGGGATTTTTCTGCATTTCTACTTCAGAAAAGAAAAAGTTAGAAGATCTCTCCATGTATAGGTACACAAATGGCTTGAGGTGAATGAATACATCTCACATCCCAAAGGCAGGCAACAGCAATCTAGGATTTGTGGAGTCGAGATATTCGCCCTTGATATGTGGTACTCAGCGTTTGTTACCTACTAACAACCTCAGAGGGCTACTCTTTTCTGGGATCATTTGTGCCAGTCAAAGGAAGGATGCTGTGTGAAATACAAACTATGATGCATTGAGTTGACATGGAAAAAAAGAGGAGAAAGGATATTGAGCTATTATGATATCTTAACAGTCCCTTATCAATCATACAAGAGAGTCTAACTTAAATTTAACTTGGAATTGGCTTTGCCAATAACAATTAGAATTAATTGCAATCATACAACAGTTTGAAATACCAGCTGAAGTCTTTGAACTTGCTTTGGCCATGAGATTGACTACAAATACGAGATGTGTTCCCTTTTTTTCAGCCTGCCATCTTTTATAGAGTCTGTTTTTATTTTTCCACTGCCCATTAATTCTTCATAATTTACTTCTAAAGTAATAACAGCAGTCCTAGATCTCCATTACTACAACTCTCAAGAAATTTGATTTCATGTCTCTATTTTGTTAAGTCAGAAGAATGAGGGTAGAGTCTCTTTTGGTGTTTTTTTTTCAAGGAAAGACATATCCTTTAGGAAATGATTTACCTTTTATCTTATTAAATTTTTCCAGATGAGGTATCTCTTTCAAAAATGCTCCTATAATTTGCTTTCATCCTGCTTTTCAATTTTCCTACTTTTAAATTTAATTCTATTAGTTTTGTTATATTTAATTCACTTATTTCCTGACTCTAAATTACCTACTTTAAACATCTACTGAAATCTCATGTTTTATTAACTAATCTATTGATTTAGACATGTACTATATTGCTTTATTTCCACTGTGTTTTATGGCACCATTTATTCAAACTATTCAGAGTAATTCTCTACATCAGTCCCTTTGTCATTATAAATTTTCATTTTTGACTAAGATGTTTTAAACCTACTTTAACCTACTAATAAATCTCTCACTTATTTTATCCAATTCCTTTATGAGTTGAAATAAAAGCTCTCTTTTATTTTCTCCTTTTGTGAATGAGAGCTTAGGGCCACCTGAGAATGAAAGAGACCTTTAAGCCATTATTCTCCATATTACCAACTATTTGAAATCCATTCAGGGTCTCAAAAAACCCCATCTCTTATTTCACTGAGCTTTTCCTAAATATTTATCCTCTCCTCTCTCCTGTTACATCTAATACAGAAGATCACAGTATGTTGCTGTTGGGAAATAGAAAATAATTCAGTCTGAAAAAATTAAAGAAAACCATTTTGAGCCTTGTGCCAGTGGCTCACTCCTGTTATCCTAGCTACTCAGGAGTCTGAGGTCTGCAGATCGAGGTTTGAAGCCAGCCCTGGGCAGGAAAATCCACTGGATACTTATCTCCAATTAACCAGCAAAATGTCAGAAGTGGAGTTGTTGTTTAGGTGTAGAGTGCTAGCCATGAACAGAAAAGGCTAAGCAAGAGCCTAAGGCCCTGGGTTCAAGTATCAGTAAAGAAACAAACAAAAAGCTTCAGCTTCTAGTCCTGGCTCTGACATTATCTTATTATATGGTCTTGGACAAGTCATTAGCCCATATAAAACTTGGCTTCTCATTTACAAGATAGGGAGTTTGCTATTAGTTTAAATAATATATATCTGAGGTCCTTTCCAATACTCTGAATAAATGGAGTCATTTAATGGCCTTGTCCAAATTCAGAAACCTAAGATCTCAGCTTTTTCTCAATATTTTTTGCTTTTTAAATTGTTAATTAGTAGTATAATTTCTTATTGTTAAACATGTTTTCTTCGAATGTTTAACTATAGATATGCTCTTTCAACTCACTATAATTTTTTCAGGTACCTGTTTCAAGGGCTCCAATCTTGCTTTATAATTCAGCACTATTCTTTTCTCTGGCTCAATAGTAAAAAATACATAAAGCAATAGAAAGGAAAATATTCATAAGAACGAACATCAAGATGGAGACCTTAAAAGTTTGTGAGGTGATCAGTTCCTCCAAATGAAAAATTCCCTAATTTCTCAATGATATCTCTGAAACTTTGTAGGAAAGAATTAATGAAATTATGGATAATGAGATTTTTTCTAATATACCCTAAAGTGCTATATTAAGCTATAATATAGGGAGAATACGTATGTACAAAATACACATTTGAGTTTGGGTATTTTTTGAAGTACTAAAGTTTGAACTTGGGGTCTTGCACTGGCTCGACAGGTGCTCTATCTCATGCACCACTCCATCAACTGAATATATACATTTATTAAGCAAGTTATTAATGCCATATGTTTTTCATTACTACCCACTACTGTTGTCTAAAACATTGTATTTGAAGTATACTACTTGGATATGCAAGATTGAGTAGGCTTTATGCACTGCTAAATGCCATTCCTAATCTTAGATGTCTTATTGGTCTAAAAAACAATTATAAAATGAGTTTACGATGACATTGCTTCGACCAGTCCCCATCTTTCCTCTTTCTTGTTTGTCTTGAGTTCAAATAAGTATTTTTCCACTGATTGCTGGCTGCAAAACCAGGTGTTTTCTCTGGCTATTTTGTCAGTCAGAGGGCTTGAACTCTGGGCCTGGGCGCTGTCCCTCAGCTCTTCAGCTCAAGGCTAACGCTCTACCATTTGAGCCACAGTGCCACTTCTGGATTTCTGGTGGCTAATTGGAAGTAAGGGTCTCACCAACTTTCCTGCCCAGGCTGGCTTTAAATGGTGATCCTCAGATCTCAGCCTCCTGGGTAGCTAGGATTACAGGCATGAGCCGCCAGCACCCAGGCTCTGGCTATTTTTTTTTTAGTATATATTTTTTATTGTAAAGGTATTGTACAGAGGGGTTACTATTGCATGAGAAAGGTAATGAGTACATTTCATATCGAGCATTGTTACCCCTTCCTTTGTTTTTCCCCTACCATCCCTTCCCTCCCCACCTCCATTTTTTAATGCTTTAAAATTGTCCTTTTCAATGTGTGGTTAAACTAATTAAATAATAAGAGATTGAAATGCCAATAACACAAGTCCTAGTTTATTGTTGAGTGCTGCCTTCATCCTTGGGATTTTTAAGTCATTGACAGCATCTTTTGCTATAGATTGCCAATCAGGTAGTGTTTATGCCCATATCCTGACATAAGTTTTTCATGATGCTATGAACCTCCATTTTGATATTTCAAAATACATGTTTATCTAGTTCATTAGTCCATGCATATATCATTCTTACAGTTTTCATGTTCCCTCTCCCTTGGGGCTTTCTTATTTCTGCCAGCATCTCTTTCAGGTTATTTGATTACAGTTTTCATTGCCACTGAAAAAATAATCACCAACAATGTTCAACCTGTTACAACTGCCTTTTCTACTCTCTGCCATTTTGTAGATTTTTGGCCTACTGTCAAACTCATGAAAATTTCAATATAATAGCCTTTAACCAGCTGCTGCATTCTGTTAGGATTTCTTTCACCTTTTTATGTTGCAAACTCCCATATGGGCCAACCGAACACAGCCAAGAGCTAGGACTCTCTTGCTTTCTTAATGAGTTAGAACATTATTCTTCTGTGTTCTGGACTGTCAGAAGAATTTAGGACTTCCAAAGTTGTATGCAGGATGTTCCAACATAGATGTCATAATAAGAACACAAGAAATATCACACTGAAAATGGCAAAAATGAAGCTTACTGGAATTGGTTTGGGAAGGGGGAGAGTAAGGACCACAGCAGAGGCATAGGGCAAGTCTGACTGGGGTATACTATATGTATACAGGGACATGTCAAAATGAAATCTCCATGTGTAACTAGTTGATGCCAGGAAAAAAAAAAGAAGAAAGATCACAGTGAATCAGAAAACAGGGCAAATATCCCAGAACTCTTTCCAAGATAATAGCCTCAGTGGAGGTTTTGTCAGTTAACCTAGAAATTTTCATTTACATTAGAATGTATCGTGGCCATTTGTTGATGAGGTATTGGAAATCATTTGGCAGTGAGTTTATCCAATAGTGTCTTAAACTTTTGCCATTTGTCACCTTAGCCTGGTCTTAGAAATAAGTCCCACAGATGGATTGGCTTCTATAGAAATCCAAGCATGTTTTAATTTCTCTTAAATTTGTATCCTGTAACCTCAAGCAATGGCCTCAGTGAAATGCTTTGGAATTCAATGAATATATATGTATTTGCTCAAAGTTGAATTTAATCACGTACCCCCCAACTATGCTTTTCATGTTCACCTCCCTGGTCTGACAAATTCCGATCCTTTTTAGTTTAATCTTTTAGTCTGTCCTTCAATGAAAGATAAGCTTTCCCCTTGATCATCTTAGTTGCTTTTTCCTGGATCTTTTCCACTTTGGTAATATCTTCCTTGGGATATCGTGATGCGAACGGCCCAAATATCCGCTTTTAAGTTTGTTAGCATTGACTCTGGTCTCCACTCACCATGAAGAAAGCAAATGCTCTTCACTGTCTCCCCTTGGTGCAGAAATAGAGAAAACAATTGAGGTCATAACCTGTTCTACATATATTAGTTCTAGCTGAAGGTTAATTCTCTGCTACTTTATGGAATACAGG